GCACCTTTGCAGGCCCAGCCTCACTGTGGAGGAGGGGCTGCTGGGATGAAATTGGGTGAGGAGCTGAGTCCCCCGCCAGCCCCGGGAGATCTGGTGCGCGCCCCTTCTCTGGGCTGGCTGCCCCCGGGGCTGGGCACACAGGAGAGCTGAGAGGCTGGGAGCACATGGGCTGTGCGTGACTCGGGCCACGGGGCTACAGCGTGCTGGTGGTGGGGCACCTCCTTGTCCTCGCAGCACTTCGAGAACTCCGAGGTTTGGGTGACCCGCCCTTCCATCACCTCCTGGCTTATCTGTGGCCGGCGGCCCCACTGGCCCCTCTGAGATGCGTCCCCAGCCCCCTCCAATTCCTGACTTTGGTGGCCCTGCGGTGTCCTGCTGCTTGGGCCTCCCAGCCCAGTCTGGCTTCCTGGGGGTCGTGGTGGCCCCACCCGGGCTACATAGCCACAGGCTTATCTGCTGAACAGGTTGGAGTTCCAGGCATCTTGGGATGGAGAGAGGAGCGAGGAGGGGAGGGATGTTCCTGGTCCTGGGACGCTGTGGGTGAGCGCACCCTTTCCTGCTGAGGGGTTGGGTGTGTGCGTGGAGACCGGCTAGCACCTCATCCTCCCCCTCCTGCATGTCCCCCTCCCTCTTTCCCATGTCTCAGGGGTGGGGTTAGGCTGCCAGGCACTCTCCTAAACCCCAACCAGCAGTGGGCAGCTGGCTTCGCACTCCGATGTGAAGCTGTTGTGGGGCTGACACAGGCGGCCAAGTGTTTATTCAATCAGTTAGTCACGTTAAAAAAAAAGCTAAGCGTTGCTTTTTCGCTGTGCTCGCCTTTCGCCAAGGAAAGGGAAAATACCCACAGGAGGGAGGAGCGGGTCAGCTGGCGAGAATCCTCCCCAGAGGCCGCTGGCTTCCTCGGCGGCGCCTGCTGACCAGGAGGCACAGGGAAGTGTGATGAGTCTGGTGCTGCAGTGCAAGAGGCCTCCTCTGGGCGGGGGGCGCCGAGTGAGTGAGTGGCGTGGTGGTGCGGCTGGGAGCGCTCCCTGGAGGGGCCCCCCAGCTCAGTTGGCCTGGCTTTGTTTTTCTGGTTTTGTATTTCATTGCCAAAATCTTTGGAAATTTTGCGTTCTTATCCACAATCTGTCTGTGTTGGTTATGTCACGACAGTGTTTTCTTTACCAGTTAAATCCGTGGAATGCAGCAAGATGGAGTGTGAATCTTGGGCAGTAAACCCCACGCCTGTTGCCTGGTATTCCCTGGCATCTGTGAGCCCAGCTTGAGAGCCACAGGTTGAGTTTGGGCTTTGGAACTGAGTAAAGTGGGGTCCTGGCCCTGGTGCTTGTTAGCTGGGTAACCACCTCAGGGTGACCCAGGAGAATGAACCCAGCTGGGAGGGCTGCCAGGGGTGGGGGGCTCCTCTCAAGGTGGGTCCTGTGGAGCTCGTGGAGGGGCCGGGTCGTCAGGGGGGACCCGTGCCATGGGCTGGTTTGGCTGAGAGATGAACTCTGATGGTCTCCTCTAGAGTGGGAACCACGCTCACAGTACTGGCCCCAGGGGATGGCAGCCGGCCGATGGCCTGTCCCCAAGCCAGCTCCTCCTGCGAGTACCTCCCAGCCAGCCCGGGGAAGCAGAGGGCCGAAGGAAGGGACCTCAGAGCCAGCCAATGGAGGGGACTGAGGCAGGCGTAGGTCTGTCTCTTGGGGTGGCCCCGTATGTAAGTTGGGTGAGGGGAGGAGCCCCTGAGGTGCTGGCTCCCTCCTGGGCCGGAGTCCAGCTCCCTGCCCTGGCTCACTGTGGGCTTCCCTTCCTCTGGCTGTGTCCTTTCTCTGTCCTCCTTGTGGGTCTCGGTCCCCCTCTTCCCCCGTGGCCTCTTGGCTGGCTCTGTGGTTTCTTCTTGGTTCCCACTGTGTCCTACTGTGCCCAGAGAACCCTGTGGGCAGGGCCCCCTGCCATGGAGGTTGTGCTCAAGTGTGCGTGTGCACAGGTGTGTGTGTGCGCATGTGTGTGTCCCCTCACATCTGGAGCTTGCACCGGGTGAGCAGGGCCCAGCTTGCATTGCCTGGGGGCTGGAGGGCTGGGGAACACATGCCTCCTGGGAATGGAACGTTGTTCCTGGCTCTTGCCCAGGGCCAGCATGTCCACCCGCATCATTCTTAAACGCTCCCTGTGCCTCTGGAAGGGGGAAACCAAAGCCTAATGGGCGGCCAGCCCTGCACCACACCAGGGCTGAGCGCTTTTATTGGCTGTGTCTCCTCTCCGGTTCCAGCCTTGCTTTCTGGGACTGAGCTCCCAGTGCTTTGGGCTCTGCTGCTGGGCAGGAACCTGGGCCCCTCTCCCACAGCGACTAGGGGTGCCGTGCTAGCCCTCTCCCTTGCTCACCCTCCCTTCTTCCCCATGGCACGGTGGCAGCCCCGGCTCTGCCTTCCAGGCCTTGACTACCACCCAGAGAGCTGCTCTGCCTGGCTGCAGGGCAGAGCCGCTGACCCTCTGTGTGTGCATTTACTTGCTCCCAGGAGAGAGACAGAGCTGGGCTGGACTGGATGCAGTGTGGAAGCTGCCCCTGGAGTGACATCTGTGAAGAAGGTCTGGCCTGCCCCTGTCGCCTCCTTCACACAGTGGGACTGCTGTGTACCCACTTGTTACTGCTGGCGGAAGCAGGGAGGCTTGGCCAGAAGAGGCTTAGACCGCAGCCGCCGAGATGTCTGGCCAGGTCAGAGGGCGACCCTGAGCTGAAGCCACCTGTTGGAGGACTTTGCCTTCCTCCCTGAGCACCCCATGCTCATTGGTAGCCTGAGCAGCTGCGGGCTCTGTGGCCTTGGTGTAGGCGTGGTGACAGGCATGGAGGTAGCTGCTAAGGGCCTTGGTCTGTCTCCCTTCCCATGCTGACAGATCTGGTTGGCTCAGCTGTGTTCAAGGTGGCCAAATCCTCCAGTGTCTTTGCTTTTCAGTATCACCAAAGTGAGGGTAGCTGAAGGCACAATAGGTGTGACGACACAATGCCGAAGAGCACAGACACCCAGGAGTAAGGCGCTCACCTTCCTGTGTCTCTCCTCTCCGATTCCAGCCTTGCTTTCTGGAACTGAGCTCAGAGGGGAGGCAGGGAAGGCACAGACGGAGGCTGGAGTGTCTTGCAGTGCCAGAAAGGAAGAAGGTGCGGGAAGATTAACGGAAGTTCCCCTGACCACATTCGGGACATTTGAGCAGTGAAAAGTCATAATCAGATAGATTCATAACACATTGGGTAGAAAATGAAAGCATGAGTTCAGACTGATACCCTTACTACCTTATCTGCAAAGACAAGACCAAGGAAGCTCTCCTTCATGGAATGCTGAGGCCCTGGGAAGAGGCCGGACCATGGTGGGGCAGGGAAGGTGGCAGTGCAGTGTCCTCAGACTTCAGTGTGTATGTGTGTGTGTGTGCACATACGGCTCAAGAAAGCGGAAGCTGATCTGGTAGGTCTGGGGTGGAGGCTGCAGTCCTTGATCTTGCAGGCTGTCAGCAGTCTGTGACATGGCCCCACTTTGAGCAGCAGAGATGGGTGCTAAAGGAGATTACTGGGCAAAAAGTTGTCAGTCTTGGACACTCGCACCGTGGCACCGGTCACCCTGCAGGCATCTAGTTACCCAGAGAAAAGTTACCTTTGTCTCCGGGAGATGTGGCAAACACAGCTCAGACCAAGTGGGCCAGCATGGTGAGCCAGGAGGGGGCCGCCCCAGTGGGAAGAATGCAACCTCACCACTGAAGTAACGGAGTTAACCTCTGCTTAGTTGGGGGAAATAATCAGATGGATCTGAGCGGGGCATTCTCCAAGTGACTGGTTTATGCTGTTTTTACAAATGTCAGTATACTAAGTTCACAAAATGTGTGTGTGTGTGTGTGTGTATGACTATTAAAGGATTAAAGGAGCCAGGAGAAATGACAATCAAAAGCAACATGTGAACCATACTTAGGAACAAACTGTCCAAACAGGAGAGACATTTTGGGGGATGACTAGGGTTATTTGGATATGGAGTGTATTAGAAAATACAAAATAAATATTAAATGTATTGGGCATGTTTGTGATGTCACCGGTACTTAGGAGAATGTTCTTGTTTTCGGAACTGTGCTGAAGTATTTCGGGACTGAGTGTTTGGGGTGAAGGTCATGCCTGCAGCTTACTTTCTGGGGGTTGGGCAGACACATAACAAGTGGACCCAGCTGTTTGTACAGCGAGAGATGAAAGCCAGTGTGGCTAAGTGGTGACAATTGGTTGGTGATTCCAGGAGAAGGGTGGGTGGAGGTTCACTGTACTATTCTTTTCAACTTTTTTTAAAGTTTATATTTTCCAAGTAAGAAGTTGGGAGGGGCTGGTGGTAGCTTTGAAACTCTCTTCCAACTCCTTTGCCCTCCTGGTGGGTGCACTGGCGCCTGGATTCCTGGAGCCACTCAGAGGTCCCAGCTGGCGATGTGGGACCTGCCCAGGCTCTCAGTGTGCAGCAGGTCACAAGGTAAGCAGGGCGACTCTTCCCTCAGGGCAGAGAGGAACCAGCAGGCGAGCCTTCAGGCAAGGGCTCTGAGTGCCTGGGCCTGGAGCAGCGTGTGAGAGGTGGACTTGCAGGGGCTGGAGGGCAGAGGGGTCCTGTGGCATGTGGACCCGTGATGTGGGGACCAGGCTACCTTTCCCCTTGGCCACCTCCACTATGAGGGCCCCAGCCTTGTTGACCCTGACAGTGAGAGGCCCCTGGAACAGCAGAGAGGCAGGAGGGCCTCGCCCCGGTCTGCTTGGTGCTCACTTCCGCCCGCCCACACAGGCTCTGGTCTTGGTGCAGACTGGGCCTCCAGCTGTGTCCCTGCAGAGACTCAGAGCCCGGGGATGGTGCGGCCTGCAGCTGGCGCCTGCCCTGTCTGTCTTCCTGGGCAGCCCCTGAGCATGGGGCAGAAGGACCCGGAGGCTCTTGTGCTGTCAGCCGTGGCTCCTGTGTGGGGTGGGGAGAGTTCACAAGAGGAAACGCCAGGGCCTGGGGCGGGGTAGGGGCCTGGACAGGTGGCAGATGTGCCCTTGGCCTGGCTCTGGGAGCCCTTTCTTACGTTCACTGCTTAGGGAGTCTGCCTGTGAAGGGGCCTTGAGAGAAGCTGACTGGTGTCTTGCTGTGACTTTGGCCTGTGGCCTCCCTGGGGAGCCTGGTGTGAACAGTGAGGGCGACAGGGTGTGCATCCTGTCGCTGTGGTCCCAGCCGCAAGCTCTGCTGGGAGGAAGACGGTCGGCAGATACCTTGTGCCTGGGCACCGCTCGCTCTGACAGAGTCTTCCTGAGGCTGCAGCTGCACAGGTGCCGGGAGCAGATGATGAGGAAGGTGAAGGCCTAATGCTTTCTGAGGGTCTCAGCAGTGGGGTGGTGAGCGTGCGTGCTTTGCATGTGTGTTGGGGTGTAGGGAACACCGAGTGAGGGGCAGATGATCCAAAATGTACCCTGGCTGGCCAAGGACATTTGAGTGTTCCTGCCAGGCCTGGAACCTGGGCCCAGGCTGACTAGGAATGTGGCCCTGTCCCTGTGTCTCTCGGGCTTCTCTTCTGGGCCTCTGGGTTTTGCTCTTCTCACTCGGACAGTGGGCCCGGCTCCCCTCTGGAGCTGGTGGTGGTTGGGAGCCAGGAAGGGCTGGCTGTGCATGGCTCAGCCCAGTGAGGCCTCGTGGACCTGCTCGTGGCCATTCTCAACCAGGTGACAGTCCTGAATCATTTGGACCCACCAGCCACCTGTGCCATGCAGGCGAGTACCATGTGAGGAGGACGTGTTAGGTGCCCTGCAGTGAGTGTGGGTGGGGGCACAGGAAATGATGGAGTGCCCCCAACAAGTCTGGTGGGGGCAGGGACTATCCCTTCTTCTGCCTGGGACTCCCTCACTCGAGGGGCATGGGGCTCGCCTGCTCCAGGCTGTCGGAGGGCGTGGCTGGCTCCCTGTCTCTTTGGAAGCAGGGTGGCTGGCATGACCTGGGCGTGGCAGAGGGCACGAGGAAAGGACAGGAGGCCTCCTCCCTTCCGTGTTGCTTGCAGGGTCCTCTCGCCGGAGCCTGCGGGCCCTGGTACCAGGAGGCATCGTGCCATGCCTGCAATCCTCTCAGCCCTCCCAGGGGAAGCTGAGCAGCTTCCTTCCGCAGCCGCAGAGATGTTTGCAGAGGGAGGTTCCGGAGCCGCTGCATGGGCAGCCCTGTCTGCGCCAGCCCCACTCACAGCCAGCTTCGGGCTGAGGACAGGGAGGGAAGTGCCGATAGAGGTGACACTGAGTGGCCCTGATAAGGCTCCCTAGACTCTTGTGGCAGAGGCTGCTGGCACGCCCTCCCCCTGCCACCCAGGCTTGCTCTCTGTCACACAATCAAAGGCTGCTGTTGGCTTGTTACAAAGTGAGCGTTGTGGTAAGGGCGTGATGAGTGTCAGCGATGCTACCGGTCTAGGGCTTCCTCCTCAGATCCATACGGGATCCTGGACACCGTGCAAACCCATGCCTGTTCCTCCACGCCTTCCTTTTCATCCAGCCCCTGCTCATCCTTCATAGCCCAGCTAAGTTGCTGGAATAGGCCCGTCCTGGACACCAGTCCCCCTCCCCTGCGGACACCAGTCCCCCCCCAAGCTCGGCGGACCCTCGCCCTTTGTTGACCCTCTCAGCAAGCAGAGGAAGGTGCTGGTGGGGTGCAGAGAGCAACCTTGTGCCCCCTTCCCAGTGTGGGACAGAGCTAGTGTAGCTGAGCAGAGTTTAGGTGGGAGAGGGGCCGGTCAGTCCTGGGCACTAGGGTGGTCAGAGAGGCCTCCACAGCCTCTAGGGCGTGGCAGGGTCCTGCTATGGACAGTGGCAGTAGGGAGTTGGGGTCGAGTAAGGTGGTGGGAATTTGTCCTTGTCCCTGCCCTGGGGCGGGCAGTGCCAGGGTGTGTCTCCCTGTAACAGCCACACCAGGCACTCCTTGAAGACAGGGCTGTGTACACCCAGTCTGTCGTCTCTAAGAGGACTGTACAGGGCCAAGCACAGGGCAGGTCCTGGTGACAGATGGCCGGGGCAGCTGGCTTCATCATGGCTCCTGGGCCCCAGAGGGGTAGCAGGTGCTGGGTAGTGTCCTGGGCTGGCCCTGGCCTGGGTACCGGGTGGGCAGGGAAGGCATCTCCAGCAGTGTGGCCCAACTCAGGGTCTTCAAAGGGGAGGCATGTCCCAGGACCTGGTGCTGGCCTGCTGGCCTTGGGAGCTGCTGGGCTGCCCCCTCCCCCAGGGTTCCTCCTGCTCCTTTTCTCTTTACCCCTCTTTCTGTCTCCTTCACAGAGAGCTCTGGGGTTGGCAGGAGCAGGGGCTGGGAGGAGGGTTGGAGACCTGCTGGCAAGGCTCCTCCTCTTAGCCCCTGCAGCTCCCACCTCTTTCTAGGTTTTTCCCCTCCCCTGGCCTTGGGTTTTCCTCTGAAGTTTCCAGCTAGGGGTAGTGCAGGTGGTGTGTGTGTGTGTGTGTGTGTGTGTGTGTGTGTAAATGTGAGAATAAGTGCGTGCATATGCGAGTGTGCGTGATGGTAGGGGTCAGGTGGTGGAGGAGGAAGCTGGGCACTGGATAGCTCACATCTGACAGATCAGTCACACTGGAGCCAGCTCCAGGTGACCCCAGCCATATCTGTCCCTGTCACCCCCACCCACATCTGGGGTAACTGGGCTCCTTCCAGTGCGGTCATGTGGGGATGGGGCCTCCCTGCCCGGTCCCTCCTTTGCTCACTTTTCAGCTGCCAGGGTGGCATGCAGCGTGAGATCAGCTGGGAAGGGCACCTGGTGCTCACGCTGTCTGCAGCCCCACCTGGTTCCATGGCGGCAGCCAGGCCTGCTCATGGTCAGTAGCTGAGCGCCCAGTCGAGGGTGGGGAGCCTCAGCCTGAGACCTTGTACTCCTGTCTTCTCCGTTCTGTGTCACTACAGCAGAAGTACAAATGGCTAATAAATATGTGGAAAAATGGGCCAAATCTTTAGCTATCAGGGAAATGCAAATCAAAACTTTTTTGATTCCATCTGGGCCTGGTTGGAACTGCTGTTCTCAAGAAAACAGAAATAGCAAATGCTGATGAGGATGTGGAGAGAGAGGAGCTCTTCTGCACTGTTGTAGGAATGTGCAGCCAGCAAAGAATCAGGATGGGGGTTCCTCAAAACACTGAGAACACAGCGACCATGTCATCCAGCTGTGCTGCTCCTTGGTGTGTGCCTGAAGGAGTTGGACCCAGCATACTGTAGAGATAACTACGCCGGTGTTTATCAGGCATTATTCGCAAGAACCACGTCACGGAATCAGTGTAGGGGCCCATGAACAGATGAACAGTTGAAGAAAAGATGACATGTGTACACCATGGAGTATTATTCAGTCATAAAGGAGAAGGTGTAATTTGCAGGAAAGTGGGTAGAACAGGAGATCATCATAGTAAGCAAGATAAGCTAGGCATGGAAAGACAAGGTCATATTTCCACTTACATGTGGAAAGCAGGAAAACCAAGAAGACCCTGACAGTAGGAGAGGGACTTAGGTTAGGGTTGAGGGAGGGCGGATATAATCAAAGCGCACAGTGCGCTGCCTATAGGAAAAGTCAGGATCAGACCCACTAATTTGTACAACTAATATAGTATGCACTAAGAATTACAATAAAAATATAAAGTAAAAAAGAACACTCCAGTTGGGGAAGTTTATGAAGAAAGGAAATTTATTTCTTGCAGTTCTGGATCTGGGAAGTCCCAGGCCAAGGGCCACATCTGGTACGGCGTTCTTGCTGAGCCATGTGTGGCAGACGGCGGTGCTGGGGAGAGCTCGGGGTGGCAGCCAGCGAGAGCCAGACCTCTGTGCCCGCAGGTTCTGTGGCCATAGACCCAGCCAGCCTTGGGCTGAAGGCGTGTGGGAAACTAATTCCAAAGCGTTGGCAAAAGCACACCTTGTCTTGCAGTGTGCCGAGTGCCACACTGGATACACACAGTATGGTGAGGTGCGGGCACACCTGGCCACAGCCTCGGAGTTCCACAGCCTGCTTCCCTCCAGTGCTGCTTTGAGCACTGTTCTTCTCTCATCTTGCACCTAGCTAGGTCCTGTGCTGCGTAGTGAGGCCTGTAGTGCTTGTGTCAGCACTAAATGTGTGGACCTTTTTCTTGTTATTCTCCAAACATGGCATTTTCACTGTATCGCGTACTCCGAGGAATCTAGAGATGATTTAAAGCCTGTGGGAAGACGCCCCTCGGTTGTGTACTACACCACTGTGTAGAAGCGGCTTGTGACCCTGTGGGTTTTGGCATCTGGATGGGGTCCTGGAGCCTGCCTCCTGTAGATACTGAGGGATGAAAAACACTCTCAAAATAGCTGAATCTGTTTGTGAGGGCAGAGCCCTGCTGACCTAGTCACCTCCAATGAGGCCCCACCTGCCGACACTGAGGCTGTGGGGACTGCAGTGGCGGGAGACCTCATGGTCTCAGGGCCCAGACCTCGGCCTTGGTGACCAAGCACCCTTGCTCTGGCCCCTTCTCAGGGTAACACCCTTCCCTTCTCTTTCTGTCTCGGCAGGTCCTCCAGAAACTGGGGAAGGCGGATGAGACAAAGGATGAGCAGTTTGAACAATGTGTCCAGAATTTCAACAAGCAGCTGGTGAGTGGGGTGGCCCCTGGCCTTGGGGTGCTTGTGGGCAAGGAGGAAAATGATAAGAGCCGAGTTTGTGGAGTAGGAGAGCTTGGATGAGAGTGAGCTGTGGAGGTGACTCTGGAGGAGGGAGTAGTGGCCGTGACCAGAATTGCTGGGTAGGAAGGGAGGGCCTACTTAGGTCCTTGGTAGGACCCAGAGAGAATGTTGGGGGATGGGAGGGGCTGGTGGGAGAAGGCAGTGGATGTGGCCAGACTCTGGAAGAGCTTGCATGCCAAGGCAAGTGGGAGCTGCAGAAGTTTTTTACTAGGACAGTGGCACCTGTGGGGCAGAGCAGGCTGGATTTGATTCGGACATCTCGTGAGCATGACAGGTACCTGGCTGTGTGGCAGGCTCTTGGCTGCGCCCTTTGTAGATGGCTGTGCAAACCTCTGAGCAACCCAGGACCATTGTTCCCATTTTGTAGATGAAGCAGTTGGAGTTCAGAGAAGTAGGGTGATTCACCTAAGTTCATCTAGCTTTGGAAGTGGATTCAGGTTTGTATTGATTTAGTTCCAAAACCAGGAAGGGACCCCCAGCAGTCCTTACCAAGACCTATTCTAGGCTAGGGATCAGTGACAGGGTGGGCTTAACTACATGAGCAGCCTGGGGGCACGGGAGGGACTTATTTACTGATGGGAAAACCCTGACTACCCTGCTGGGCTGTCCCTGAAACTTTCCTCCAGAAAAGCCAGAGCAGTCCATTTCTGTGGCTGTATCTGAGGACAGCTGAGAGGGGAGTGAGATGAAGGAGTGAGATGACCCTGGCAGTCTCTCTCCCTGGAGAGGGCCAGGGGAGCAGGAAAGAAGGGATGCTGGGCCATGGCTCCATGGCCATGACAGTCAGCTAAGAGCAAATGACTGATGGAGATAGTGGCCACAGAAGGAGGCCACAAGGAATGGGAGTGGGCACGTGAAGGTCAGGATCTCAGCTCTGCTGGAAATGCAGCAGGGTGAGTAGTGGACCCAGGATGGGGACCCAGGCCTCTCAATACTCCCTATCTGTGTCTGAGTCCTTGGAAAGCCCTGAAGATGCCTACAAAAACCTCTGCAGCTGGACTGGCACCTAGGGGAGGTGACGTCTTTTATAGAATTTAGACACTTATTGGGCAGGGATGGGAGCAGTTGTGAGTGGACAGAAGAACATCTGGGGGAAGGCTGGGAGGTGATGAGAGAGGGTCAGGGAGCATGCTGGGAGAGAATCAGGGAGAATGCTAGGAGAGGGTCAGGGAGCATGATGGGAAAGGGCCAGGGAGCATCATGGGAAGGGTATGGCATTATTCTGGGAGAGGGTTGGGAGCATGATGGGAGAAGTTCAGGGAGCATGCTGGGAGAGGGTCAGGGAGCATGATGGGAGAAATTTGGTATTTCTGGTACAAGGTCAAGAGCATGCTGGGAAAGAGTGAGGAAGCATTCTGGGAAAGGGGTGGCATGATTCTGAGAGAGGGTCAAGAGCTTGCTGGGAGAGGGCCAGGGAGCACTCTAAGAAAGGGTTGGCATTATTCTGGGAGAAGGTCAAGAGTATTCTGGGAGAAGGCTACGGGCATGCTGGGAAGGGTGGAGGGTAAAGCTACCCTGGCCTGCCGGAGAAGTTCAGCCCACAATGCTCCCCAGGGTCGTGGTGGCTGCTTGTCGGCTAGAACAGCCATGGGAGGTTTTTCAGGGCCCAGGTGGACCCATAACAGGGAATTGACTGCCTTGGCTTCCTCACATCTAAAATGTAGGCTTGAACAGGAAAGTGGCAGTCTCAGCTTCTGATTCTGTCTCTTAGAAGCTCTGGGTGTGTCTGCTAGTCACTGGCTTCCTCAGATTATAGGCAGCTCTGAAGACCTTGTAGGGATACTGTGGACCAGGTACTTGTATGTGTTTCACAGACATATCCTTTCAGTCCTTGTAGTGGATACTGACATTCTTTTTATTTTGCAGATGAGGCACTGGAGGCTCAGAGAGTTTAAACAACTTCCCAAGGCTGCACACCTAGTTTAGGCGCTTAGGGGCTTATGTCCAGATCCTGGGTTCTTTCATTTACTCTCAGGTTCCTTCTTTGGACCTGAGCTCAAGGCTGAAGGCAGTGGCAGGGCTGCTGGAAAGCTACAGCCCTGGAGTAGGGATAGGGGTAGTGGTGGGGGTTGGGGTGGTAGTGTCTCCCCAGAGCAGGCTGGGCTGTCTGGTGGAGGATGAAGCGAACACAGATGTAGGAGCTGCGAGTCTCTACGGCCTGGTCTCAGAGAGCATCCACAGTGTTGTTCTTCGCTCTTGCCTGTGAGGGGTACCCCTGCTGGGTCCCTGGCCCTGAGCAGGCAGTCATTTAGTGATTCTTAGGCAGAGGGGCCAGGCAGAGAAGCCAGGGCTATAGATAGATGGTGCTGGTGGCTGCCTGGCTGGCTGTGGGCTGGAGGGGTCACCTGAGTTGGGGCTCTGTCCACTTCCAGGTTGGGTGGAGCGGCTGGCTGTTTAGGGGCCAGAGACAAGGAGTGGACAGTCCAGTCTTGGGTAACCTTCCGCATTGGGGTCATGACAGCTAGTCGGGTCTGGGTTTGCCTGGGTGTGAGGAGGGTGGCTGCTGCTGGCAGGGGTGCTGAGGTTAGGACTCGGCTGCAGTGAGAACAGGGAAGCAGGTCCTTGCACATCTGTGTACCATGGGCCTGCTCAAAGCTGGAGTTTGGGAGACAGAAGCCTGGCAGCCTACCCCAGAGAGCCGGTGCTCAGGGAACTGAAGAAATTTTAGAGTGCTTTTGTTCCTTTCCACACCCTCTCTGTTTTATTATACGAGGTAATGATGGAAATACTATACATGGTGACTGTTTAAATTTAAAAAGAAATAATTACTGTGAAGACACATTGCCATTAACCTCCCTCACAATACTTATGTTTGCCTTGAACATACTTATCCCATCAATTTTGCCACTTTCTGAAGCAGTTCTGGAAATCCCTCTTCTTGAGTGTTGTATGAAGCGTGACTGTTGCTCGTGAGTGCCATCCAATAAAAAGGAGGCTTGTAGAACCATTATGGTGTGTCCTTATGCACCTTATTCGCTGGCTCTGGCACTGTGCGACTTCTGGCTTTTCCTCAAAGTCAAATTGATCATGATTTGAATCGATTCAAGTTGCAGGACATTGATGCAACTGTGACCACGCAACTAAAAACACGCCTGTGAAAGAGGATTCCAGAGCTGCTCCAGAAAGTGGCAAGATAGATGGGATAAGTGTGTTTGAAGCTAGGGGGAGCATTTTGAGGTTTATTAGTGTTTTTTGTTGTTGTCTTCTTTTTGAGACCGGGTTTTGCTATGCAGTTCAGGCTGGCCTCAAACTCACAGTGATCCCCCTGCCTCAGCCTCCTGAGTGCTGGGATTATAGGCATGCACCATTAGGCCCGGCTGGGTTATTAATGTGAGTGTGTCTTTTACTGGAATAAATTATTTTAATTTACACATTCACTGTGTTTTTTGATGCTGCCACATATAACGTACCATTCTAAGTCCTTCCTGCCTAAGTCCTTCTAAGTTCTCACGGTAACGGGAAAGCACCCATCGTGATAAATAAGTAGGCTGATCTGCGGCTTGTCCAGGGCCACATTGTTACGTGAGCACTCTGCATGCTGCAGCCGAGTACCCTGGCCTTGCAGAGTCTCCTCTGTTTTCCAGTCTGTGGGACTCTGGGCCAGTGGCCCATTGGCTTCCTTGCTTGTCAGGCAGGGACAGTGGTACTGGGAAGATGGTACAGGGAGTGTGTGGACACCAGGGAGAAAGAGCAGGTCCCAGTGAGGAGGGAGGTCTGTGTGAGGGGATAGAGGGGTTGTGGGAGCCTAGGAAGGTGACCTCTCATGCTTTGCTGGAGATGGATGTGCAGATGGGACCTCCTCAGGGGTGCTCTCCCAAGCCCATGACAGCTACCAGGCTTATTTGCCTTGAACACACTTATCCCATCATTTTTGCCACTTTCTGAAGCACTTAGATCCCTAAGTGGCCAGGGATTTAGAGCAAGGGTGTCTCTGGTGAGATGTCTGATGTGGGGGGACGGGGCAGCTTCAGCCACTGCTGCGGTCCTCTCATGTCCCCTTTGGTTCAAGCCTGACTCCTGAGGCCATCGGGGGCCTGGCTGTTCCCTTGAGCTGTCCTCTGAGCACCTGCAGTGTGCCAGGCAGGGTCATTTCCCCTGGGGGCAGGTGAGGAGACAGAGGCTCAGACAGCCTTGTTCACCTGCTTGCAATAGGCCCCCAAGCCCACATGTGCTTCCTTCCTTCCTGCATGAGTTCTGGAAACTTCTGCTTCCCATGGTGGTCTCACAGCTGGTGGTCTCCTCTCCCCTACTATTCTCTCTGCCTCTGTTTCTGTGGTATCAGTGGCTCAGGGGACTCGAGTCCAGCCCGCAGCTCTACCCACTCTGCTGTTGCTCTCTGTCCCAAGAGGTCCAAGGGCCGCTGTTTCCTGTCAGGCAGCTTCCTGCCTGCCCAGGCCCTCTCTTTGGCCCGTCCCTTCTACATCTGGTGTTCTGCATCCTCCTCTTGGTGCATGACCTGCACCCCACAAAGGCCAGCCTCTTTTGGAAGCTGCCTCCCTTTGGAGGTCCCATGCCCCCCCACCCCTCAGGGCCTTTCTGCTGATAGGGTCTGCCTAGGCCCTCCTTTCTTGGCATGATGCTTGAGAGGCACTCTGGTCTGGCACCACCAAGCATATGTGATGAGCAGCCTCCTATGGGTTATGTCGTGTGTGGTGTTCAGCTACCCCCTAGTGTGGCACTCCAGGGCACAGGCACCCTGTTTCCTGACAGAGCTGGGCAGGGTGACTGATCAAGGGGCCCTAGGGCTCCCAAGTGGAGGCAGCATTTGTAGCGCAGCATGGTTCAGTTTGCATCTGTGACAGAGGCTGCTGCCTGTGCAGCCCAGTGTGCTGGATGGAAGACAGACTGGTGGTGGCTGCTGCCGGGGTGGTCTGGCTTGTCATGTGGGAGTGGCAGGAAGGAGAGGTTGGGGACCTGCAATCAGTCCAGACCCCAACTGGTTCTCGTTTTTCTTGGCAGACCGAGGGCACGCGGCTGCAGAAGGATCTCCGGACCTACCTGGTCTCAGTCAAAGGTCAGGCTGGAGGGGCGAGCTGAAAGTGGAGTGGTGGGTGCGGAGCGGGGAGGGTGGCAGGGCCCATGTGTGGCGGTGAGGGTGTCTGGGCCATCCGCAGAGGCCATCTCCCTCCTCTCTGCCCCATAGCCATGCACGAGGCCTCCAAGAAGCTGAATGAGTGTCTCCAGGAGGTGTATGAGCCCGACTGGCCTGGCAGGGATGAGGCGAACAAGATCGCTGAGGTAGGGATTGTGCAGGACGGGTGGTTTTGGCCCTTCCTAAATGGCCTCTGGCCTCAGTTCTGCCCCCTGCCTTATACCCTGGGCACACATGCGTGCTGTGTGTCGTTGGGCAGATTGCCTTGCGTCTGAGGAGTTTTTCTCCTAGCACTCTTGCTGAGGGATGAGGTGATGGATTGTGATGAATGAAGTCTCTCTTGCTGACCCCACTGGTCCTGAGTATATCTGAACCTCACCATCTTCCCGCAAGAAATTGCAGAGGCAGAAATTATTACCCCTGTTGTATAGATGGGCAAACTGAGGCTCTGAGAAGCCCTTGAGCTTTGAAGTGATGGAGCCAGCGCTCACTCACAGGCCTGCTCCCTGGTGGCCATGCCATTGCTGCTCTCTGTTTCAGAACAATGACCTCCTCTGGATGGACTACCACCAGAAGCTGGTGGACCAGGCACTGCTGACCATGGACACCTACCTGGGCCAGTTCCCTGACATCAAGGTGCGTGCTCTCTTGGTGGATGTAGGCAAGGCCGGGGTGTGGCTCAGGACTGACTGTGGCCTGGAGGTGCCTCTGCCTTGTGACGGGTGGACAGCCGGACCTCTCACCTGCCTGGGGCTGCCCCTCCACACTCACCGTGTGCTCCCTGCTCCACTTCCTTGACTTGCGGGTCCAGGGCTGTGGAGAGAGGCCCAGGGATGCGTTATGCGTGTGTCGTTGTGTGCTCTGGAATGACTGTGATTGTGTAGGATATGTGCTTGAAAGGCTGTGTGTGTCGCCTGTTACCTGGGTCTGTCTGTCTGCCTGTCTGGGCAGGAGGCTGGCTGGGAGCTGGGCCCACAAATGTGCTAGGAGCTCTGAGTGCCAGGCTGACCCCTGAGGCGAGTGGGCCCTGTGTGGTGTCCGTGGAAGCACAGGAGTCAAGCCAGACGGCAACCACTGAGCTGGGCCTGATCCCCGGGAAAGAAGCTGAGGGTGTCACGCTGGTGGGGGGCACCGGGCTGCCAGTGCCGATGCCTCGGGCTCCCCGATGCTGATGGCTGGCTGTGGGGAGAAGCCAGGGCCCAGGAGGCATCTAAGGAGCCCAGAGCCAGGCTGAGGAAGAGGCTTGGCCTGTGCGGTACTGCCTCGTGTTGCCAGGAGGCTGCGCTAGAGAGTGTGTGCCCAGTGGCTTCAGGCCTGCTGCTGGGCCCTCCACGTGTCTCCTCCTTCTCTGGGCCCTGCCTGGCTAGGCCTGGGCCCACTCATCCTTCCTCCACCGTCTGTCTCCCCTACAGTCGCGAATCGCCAAGCGGGGGCGGAAGCTGGTGGACTATGACAGTGCCCGGCACCACTACGAGTCCCTACAAACTGCCAAAAAGAAAGATGAAGCCAAAATTGCCAAGGTAAAAGCTGGGGAGCAGGTCGGGGTACCCGGGGAGAGGGTGAGGGTGACCTTGAGGGGAGGCTTAAGGCCGAGGCTGCTGAGGGGAAGGCCCTGTGGTGCTCACAGGCTGCCGTCCGGTGCCCCCTGCCTTGCACGGGCCCCTCTGCCCTCCTCTGCTGCCGTTTTCCGGGAGAGGAGATGGGTTTGGGTTTCCTTGGAATGGTGCTGCCCTGCCTGGCACACGGAGTGGCATTCTGTCACGGGACCCTGGGTGAGCCGGTCCTGGCTGGAATGAGCCTGTGGGCCGGTCACAGGACTGGCTGCATAGGCCACAGGTGAGGGGCTGGGGCAGTTCCCTGCTTGCTGCAACCTCTGCCCTGCTAACGACTACTGTTTGCCTTTGCAGTTGGAATTCACCCTCTCCGTACCACCTGGGCAGCTCCTTTAGTTCTCTCGCCACCACAGAGGCCTTTCCTTGTGGTGGGGCTGGCCCTGGCGGGGCTGGCTGGTCTGTCAAATGGGCTTGGTGTTTAACATCTGTGTCTGTTTCTCTCTCCCCACCTGCCTCTGTCTCTCCACTCTCCTTTGCCTTGACCTGCCCCCACTCTCAGCCTGTCTCGCTGCTTGAGAAAGCTGCCCCCCAGTGGTGCCAAGGCAAACTTCAGGCTCATCTCGTAGCCCAAACTAACCTGCTCCGAAATCAGGTGACACTGGCTTCTAACCTTGCATGTGCTGGCGCCTTCTGGTCTGTCGTCCTGTCCTCTAGTTGGGCACCCATCTTCCCAGCAGGCCAGGCTTCCTGAGAAGCTGCTGGGCACGTGCTCTCTAGAGGGGGGGCTGGGGGCTCAGTCACCTGCTGAGAGCCAGGGGTAGCCTCCAAGCCCAGCCCTGAGCTGGCAGCTGCCAAGTACATCCAGGCAGGGGACAGGGTTACCTCTGCTGGACCCAAGGCCAAGAGTCTGCGGCAGGCAGAGCTGGGGTCCCAGGTTTGTGGTCCCCATGAGGCTTTTTTGCAACCCTTGTACTCCAGGAACAGGGTGAATGTCACTGGGTCATTTGTCTCCCCTGAGGGCTTGGTAAGAGAGAGGTGACACTAGGACTTCTGTCCTGGCGTGTGCTGTCCGTCCAGCTTCCCAGAACTCCAAGGTTATCCTGAATTTGCTGAGGAGACAAATCTGCCCAGGGAGAGACACGGGCTTCTGTCCAGGGTCCTGGGTCAGTTAATGACAGAGCTAGGGCTCACCTGACTCAAGCTCCTGGGTTGTTAACCTGGCCCTGCCCTGGCCTCCAAGTGGGAAAGCCCTGCCACAGCTGGCCCAGGGGGCCCCCAGAGTGACTCTGGAAGGGGCCCCAGAGGGCTCTCCAATCTGGCTCTGGCTCTGAGACCTGGAGGGCTGGCTGTTTGGAGGGATCATGAAGTTCTAGGAGGCTTCCTGGAGGAGATTCTTAATACCAAACCCTTGGGTCATCTCACCACCCTGGGAGTAGATATGTCACCAATCACTCTGTCCTTGGGATGGGCTGCAGTGTGGCTGGGGCCCACTGGAGACCCTGCCCCAAGAAAGGTGGGCCGCACCGTTGTGGGAACCTTGGGCTAGGCAGGCTGAGGAGGCTCTAGGTCCCCTTCATTCCAGGGGGTTCGGTGGTGTTGTGGGGGGTGGGTGGGCGGCACTAGCTGACCTGGGAGGTCAGGTTTCCCTGTGGGCCGCTGCCCCACTTTTCCTGGGCTATGCCCTGGTTCATGATCTTCAGCCCACACGTATCAAGTGCTGATGTTGTGGGGAGCTTGTTTCCTGGTTTCCCATGTGAACTGCTGCCTGGTTTCTGTCAGGCCAAGGTGGGGGGCTGACTGTGGAGGGACTGAGTGCTGACAGCCCATTCAGACATTGAGCTGACCTTGGCTCTCCAGGGCCTATGGAGATGACCTAGGGGAATGTCTAGGGGGACAGCAAGAGGCCTGAGAATCCCTAAGTTGCTGTGGACTGGGTGGGGCTGTCGATCTAGAGCCGGGGTATTGGGTGGGAGAAGCTGGGGGCGGGGTGTCTGCCTGCTGCATGAGAGATTGGGTGAGGGATCTTGGGGTAGGTGTGGGTGGGGACATGCTGGGAGGGGAGCCTGAGAGAGCGTCTCTCTGAATGCTCACCTGTTCGCCTTTCCACCATGTGGGCTTCCGTCTTGAATCCCCTTTTTATTTGACCATGCCCTCCTCCTCCCTATGCCTGGCCGTGCTAGCTGTGGGCGGCTGAGCGTGAGCTGGGGCACTTGGGGCCCAGTGTGGGCCTGGCTGGAGGGCAATAGTCCATCTTCTCTCTGACTTTTTGCACAAGTGCTTCTGAAGGGGGCAGAATATGAGAAATGTGACCAGAAGGCGTACAAGAAAATAGCTCTGATTCTGGGAAGTCTAAACTGGACCTGCCCTGTTCTTCGTAGTGCTGCTGGGACCTCCCTGCTCTGATCCATTCCAAGAGAATTTTGCAGGCTTAGATAAGACCTTTCCCCTTAACTAGATCTTTCAGTCAGACAAGGAACCCAGGTGCTCTTTAGTGAGTATCTGAGGTGATCAGTCGGAAAGCACGGCACCCCTCCTTTTGCCCCGCCCATTAGAAGGACTCTAGTGCCGGCGGCTAGGAGCTCCCTTGAGCTGGTGCTGCTGTAATGCAGGAAGGAACAGCTGTCCGGGCTTGGGGAAATCGACTGTTTTGGGAAAGAGCATTCGGCCAGCTGGCTGCTTTTGCCAGAAGTGGCCGTAGCCCAGCCTGAGAACGTGAGGCTGCTGCTGAGAAGTTTTCCCCTGGGTGGGGCCACCACGTTCCTGGGCTGTGACTCAGACCTGAATCTGAGTCACCCCCTGAGATACTTCCAGCAGCATCCTCCAGAAGCAAGCTGTCAGAGCCGGTCCCTGCCCCAGCCGTGTAGGCCACGCATGCCTCTGGCTGGACGGTGGGGTCATAGTGCCACCTGGTGGATGTGAGCAGCCTGCGAGGCATAGGAAGGACACCAGGCACAGGGCCTGCCAGCAGCCTGGGTCCTTCTTCCCACCACCTCTGCCATTGCCTGAGCCTTTGCCTCTGGGCCCTGGGTGGGGCAGGTTGCAGCAGAGAGAGGGTTGGTAGGAAAGACTGTCCCAGGCAAAGAAACCCGAGTAGGACTGGCCCTGAGAGAGAGGGAAGGAACCCTCGGGAGGCACCAGCAAGGACAGTAGCCCAGGGAGCCCAGTGGCAGGGCGGGCTCTTGGCTCAAGAGGGCTCCCACGGACACAGGTGGTCTCGTCACTGGCCAAGTCTGGGGTCAGACTCTGTTCCTCTCAGCTTCACAGGCCCTTGTCACAAAGCTTCTTGTGCCCTGTCTTCCAGGCCTTCTGGGCTAGATAGGGTGGTTCCCCTTTGCAGTGGCTGCCATCCCCTCCCCTTCCCAGAGTGGCCTGAGGGACTGCAGTGGGAGGTCCCCGGGGAGTCCACGTCCAGTCCAACTTCTCGTCCCAGAGTCCTGATCCTGCTCACTGGTCAGGAGTTGGGGAGTGCGGTGGTTGGGGGTGGCCTGGCTCCTAGCCAAGGCCCAGAGAGGAAACGAACTGTCCTGACCCCAGGCTGAGGAGGAGCTCATCAAAGCCCAGAAGGTGTTTGAGGAGATGAACGTGGACTTGCAGGAGGAGCTTCCGTCCCTGTGGAACAGGTAAGGCCAGGAGGGATCCCTGTGCCTCCTGGGTCCACTTGGGGCACCACTGCTCTCTCCTCGAGGGCACCTGTGGACCTGTGTGGGCACCTGCCTCGCAGAGTTGGCCCCATGGGCTCTCCTGGGCCAGCTGACCCTCTCCTTCCTCCCCTGCCCGCTGGCAGCCGCGTCGGCTTCTATGTCAATACGTTCCAGAGCATCGCAGGCCTGGAGGAGAACTTCCACAAGGAGATGAGTAAGGTAGGCTGGACTCCCTCTGGGCCTCTGGGCCATGCTGGTCAAGGAGCAGAGTTTGAGGCATGAAGGAGGCGGCCCGAACTCCCCTGTCCTTGCTGGGGTTAGCCACACGAGTGACCAAGGGGCCCCCCGCCCTCGGGGGCCAGCTGCTCTGGGGAGACTGAGTGGGTCCCCAGGTCCAGCCCTATGCCCAGTCCTGTTCTCGCTTAGACAGATGAGCCGGGGGGATGGGGACCAGCCCTTCTCAAACTGCAAACAGTTTGTGATGTCCCCTCTCTGCCTTCCCTCCAAAGATTTTAGACCAAAAAAAAAGATTTTAGAAAACTTGTGAGAAGTTTAGAAAATAGGCATTTTGGGGAAGGAAAGTTTTATTTAAAGTTAGTCCCCTTATGCCATGGAGCTCATCTTTGAGCTTTCTTGTGGTCAGTGCCAAGCGGAAGCCTCAGTGATGAGGACCACGGAGTGCACGGGCTGGAGCTCCTCGCTTGCTGTGCTTTTGGTGGGATTTCTGGCGGTGAAGCGTAGCCTGAAAAGTGTCTTGGCAAAGTGACCTTGACAATTAGGATCAACAGCGAGTCTATAAAAAAACAATTTTTGTGAAAAAAGTGCCAGCTTTATGTAGCATTTTAGGCTCTTCTATACAGAGCAGAAGAGAAAAGATGGTTCCTACAAGTAGGCCTGTCTCTAAGGCAACCCACTTCCCCATTTTTTTTCCTGGGTTTTTGCAAGTTTGGTGCCCCCATTCTGGCTGTCGCTTGTGGAGAGGGGCCGGGCTGGGAGAGGGGGCAGCAGGGGTTCCTGGGGGAGGGGCTGTCGGTTGGCCTTGGCCTCCCCACCTGCTCCCTGTCCCTCCCACAGCTCAACCAGAACCTCAACGACGTGCTGCTCAGCCTGGAGAAGCAGCACGGGAGCAACACGTTCACGGTCAAGGCCCAGCCCAGGTGCGTGGGGCCGCCGGGGGGCAAGTGGCTGGCTGGGCCCGTGTGCCCACTTCCTGGGACCAAACCTGTGGTGCCTTCCCTGGGCCCGTGGGCTTGGGCCTGGGGCTCTGGGTCTTTCCTGGCTTGGCTCCATTTATCAGGGACACAGTTGAGAGTGGGTCCCTGCCTGGGACATTCCCGTTCCGGTGTGACCCTGCGTTCCCCATGAAGGAAGGAGCGTCCCTCTGAGGTTGCAGGCCTCCCCCTGTTGGAGGAGTAGGAACACATCGGGGGAGGCAGAGCTCAGCTTTAGGGGTGCAGGACTGAGTGGTTCCTCAGGTTGCAGCCTTGTGGAGAGCTTCAGACTCTGGAAGCCCCAGCCCTGGATGGCAGCATTCTGCTGCCTCAGTGTGCTGGTCTCCGTCCCCTGCCTGGCCCTCGCCTCTTGGTGCCAGCTGTGCAGGCGCTTCCTGTTGCCTGCTGGGAACCCTGAGCCATGAGGGAAAGTGCCTATTCTCTGGCTGAGACTGTGGAAACGAAGAAGCCTAGGATTTCCCTTCCTTTTAGTGTGTGTGTGTGTGTGTGAGAGAGAGAGAGAGAGAGAGTGTGCATCGTTTGTGAGTGTATATGGGTGTGTGTACATTCACACGCGCCTCTCCCAGCAGAGTGCAGAGCACCAGGAGCTTTCCTTTCTGTGTCTGTAGAGTGGGGTGTTTGTATGTGCTTCTTGGGGTAACTGGGGCGCTGCCTAGTGCTGAGGAAGTATGTAGTGCGTGTCATGGGCCCTCTGAGTGCCGCCAAAATAAGTGGGACTGAGGAGCCCCGGGTGCTGTAAGGCAGCCTAAGGTGGTAGGGGGTGGGGAGGGTGGAATCTGGGTCACTGGGGAGAGACCCCTACTGGAGGGCCGGGTCCATGCTGGTGGAGGTGGTGAGTGCCTCTGCCTGGGGTGCTGGGGACAGTGCTTGCGAGAGTGGTCCCTGGGAAGAGGGAGGGAAATAGAGGCTCAGGACTCTGCTTGGCACCAAAGCGGCCTATGGTGCAGCCCGTCCCCTCCTGCTGGCCTCCCCTCCCAAGGCCGCACACTGCCAGTGGAGCCCTTCCTGGTGTTCGGGGCTTACTGAGCTCCTAGCCCGGCTGAGGCAGGCACACGCCCCAGTCGAGGTTCCTGTCCTCCGAGGCCCACCAGCACACCTGGGCACTGGCAGTGTGTTCTGAGCACGGGTGGGGAGGCTGCACCTTCACCCTGCCCTGAGCGAGGGGCTGGTGCGGAGGGCAGAGGTCAGGGCCTAGTCTGCATCTGATTTCCCCAAATGAAGGCCTCCACATCCCGTCCGTCCCCACAGAAAGAAAACTAAACTGTTTTCTCGGCTGCGCAGGAAGAAGAACAGGTACCTGCGGGGAGCAGCCCTGCGGCTGCGCATGCACCTCGCGCCCTGTGCCAGGCGACACTAACCCTAACTGCCCGCCGCCCGCCTGCGTGTGGTGCTTTGTCCTGTGTGTGTGGGCAGGGCATGAGGACTGGGGGTTTGGGGCAGCCCCGGGTCTGGCTCAGTATTGCTCGGAGCTGTGTGTACCACCTGCACCCTTTCGATGGAAAAGGTGATGAGGGAAGAGGCTGGGACAGGGCCTAGGAAGGGACCTTGCGGCAGATGGTTTTTAAAAGTAATTACACACGTGTAGGATACCCTGTGTTGGTGTCTTTTCCTTAAGAAGGCAAATACACCCCATAAAACACAAATTCGGAGCCACGTCTCTCACTCTGTCCTCTCCCCAGCCCCCACCAGGTTCTGTGTCCTTCTAGATTGGCCACCACAGTGGCCACCTCTGTCTAGGGCCTCTCGAACGCCCGCAGTGTGGCCAGTGTGACCAGGGGGAGAGCCTTTATGGTTTTCCTGGTGACGTCATCATCAAGGCCAGGGGCTGCCATGTTGAGCAGCACTGTTCTGGAACTTTCTCCTGCAAATGTGGAAGGAGGATTTGATTCTCGGCCACCATAGCCTGTGGCCACTCTGCACAACCCTGGCCCCTGCTGCCCATTCCTCCACCTTAGGGTGTTCTTTCTGCTCATCCAGGCCCTGCCTGGTCTTTGGTGTCTCTGGATGTCTCTCCAGGGTGTGCAGTCTCGAGACAGTGAGGGGTTGGGAAATGGGCGGTGGGCTGGCCCTTGGGTGGACAGGCTGGGGGCTGCTGTGTGATGTGGAGTTGACTCACTTTGCCTCTAGGACGCCTGGCTTGTGAGTGCTGGGGCCTCGGGCACTGTTGGCATGGCCCAGTAGAGCCCGGTGAGACCTGTGGAGACATCCAGCCTGGCCTTTCGTGACCTCATGTGGACAGGGGTGCATGGCCCAGGCCCCTGCATTCCTGCCCCTGCACGCTCCCTCCCTCTTTCTCTCTTTCTCTCACACATACACACCCTGACATGCAGATCCAGGAAGGTACACATGTACACGTATGTGTGGGTCCTGGGGACACTTGCAGACGTGGCTCTGTGGGGCTCATACATGAACACACTTTTACATGTGGATCCATGTGCACATGTACTCTGACACGTGGGTTCCTGGGGCTCACACTTCACACGGCACACATGGAAGCCCCTGAGTCTTCGGGGCGCCCACCTGTGTGCACAGCCCCTTGCTGGAGCCCCGTCTGCTCATCCTCTGCCGCAGCCCCCCCACATTGCGCTCCCTCTCCTGTCCTGACCTCCAGTGACAACGCCCCTGCGAAAGGGAACAAGAGCCCCTCACCTCCGCCGGATGGCTCCCCTGCTGCCACCCCTGAGATAAGAGTGAACCACGAACCAGAGCCGGCCAGTGGGGCCACGCCCGGGGCCACCATCCCCAAGTCCCCGTCTCAGGTAGGCACGACGTCCCAGACGTCCTGGTGTCTCCCCCACCCCCTGCTTTGCTGTCATCTTTTGCCCCTCGCCCTCTGCTGCCTGCCTGCTCCTGGACAGATTTGGAATGGGGAGGTTGGGCCTGGACTGTGTTCTCCTCGGCCCCCACCAGCCGGGTGTGCTCAGTGGCCACAGCCCGCCTCAAGGGGCTGTGACTGTCGCCTGCCCACGCGCGCCCCCCAGTGGCCTCTCTCCCTCTTCCTGGCCTTTCAGCTGCTTGACTCCTTTTCCTTTCTTTCCTCCCTAGACAGACACTGAGTCTCCAGAGGTGGCTGGCTGCCTTCGGTCTCTTGCAGGAGGCTGAGGAGGAGCCTCACTGGGTGGCCATGCAGGACCATGAGAGGGACAGACAGGAAGGGCTCAGTGAGGCTGTGTGGGTTCAAGACGACTTCTGGACTGTTCTGTCTCACCAGCCTCACCCCACCAGGCCCCCCAGCTTCCTCAGGGGCCCGGGAGCTGGCAGCGCCACGGGGCTGAAAGGGGAGCCCTGTTGGTCTCGGGCTGTATGATGAGGACCGTGGTGCTAGAGCAGTGACGATGCCCACTGTGCGGCCCTCCCTCTGGGCTGGACGCTGCCAGCGCTTCCTGTGTTTATGTTCACTGACTCCTCCTCCTGCCCTGAGCAGTGGCCCAGGAGAGGCGGAAGCCAGCTCTGGTGGTGTGACTGGCCTGCGGGGCCCCGCCTGGTGGGCAGGGGCGGCCCCTCCCGGGACCTGGCCCCGTGCTGGTTTCCTCAGGGGCAGATGGGCTGAGCTGCGGCTCTGGGCCCGGGGAGATGCAGAGGCATCTGCAGGAGGACAAAGGTGGATGGGGAGGCGGCTGGGGCTGTCTCTCGGCTGCAAGTCCTCTCCACTGACCCTCTCCTGGGCACCTGAGCAGTCGTTCTCCCTTTCTGTCCTGCTCCCTCCCCTTCCTCTCTTCTCCCTTTCACTTTTCCCTGTCATCGCCTTGTTCTCTGCAGTCTCTCTGCACCTTCTGCCTCGGTCTCCTTCCTGGGTGGCCTGTAGTCCTGGTGTCTCTGTCTGGGTGCTGAGAGCTTCCTTTTCCTGGTCTTCTTCAGTTGCTGGGTGGGGCTGTGGCCTGGGCTGGGACTAACGGTGGTTTTGTCTTTGTCTGTCTCCCCTGATGCCCACACCCTGCCACGCCTCCCACGCTGCCCCTCGCCCGCTGACCCACAGCTCCGGAAAGGCCCACCGGTCCCTCCGCCCCCAAAACACACCCCGTCCAAGGAGGTCAAGCAGGAGCAGATCCTCAGCCTGTTTGATGACACGTTTGTCCCTGAGATCAGCGTGACCACCCCCTCCCAGGTCAGCCGTGGCCGCCACGGCCCGGTCCTCTCCGCTCCTCTCTGGAGCCTGCATGACCTTCATCCTCCATCCCACACCCTGCCTGTGTCCCGGGAACCTGGCATCTGGCTTGAGGGGTTACCTTGAGCTGCTGCCTCTTATCCATCCACCCCTCCTACCCTCCATCACCATCACCTTCATCATCATTGTCATCCCCCACCTCTGAGCGTGCACTGTGGCCAGATGCAGGGACACAGAAGCGCAAGGTCTCCTCACTTCCCGGCAGTGTGGTCAGCTCAGGGAGGACCTCACAGCATGACTCATGCTATAGCAGGAGCATGGAGGGTGTGGGGCTAGAAGATGACATTTGTCTGGTGGCTTCTCAGGCGGTGCTTTAGCCAGACACAGCAGAGATGGCAGAGACGGGCTGGGAGGTGTGGAAGATGGGCTCCCTGTGCCATGATCAGGCTGGTGGCGGGGAAGCAGCCAGTTGGCGCTGGTGCGTGCGCTGCGACAGCCTGGCATGGAAACTCAGCTCAAGCTGCTGCTCATAAATGCTCTAAGGGACATGTCAGATGGACCTGGAGCTGCAGTGGGCCAGGCAGGGAGGTGCCACCCATGGTGGAAAGCCTTGGTCACGCTGGAGTGGCCAGCACATTGTCAGCTCACTCTGCGACAGCTTTCTGCTCAGAGCCGGCTCCTTGGCCTCACAGCCTCCCTCCTGCAGGTTGTGGCTTTTGTGGAGGTGGCGGGTTCATGCTGGAGGACTTGGCCAGGAGGACCTTGCTGGAATCCTGCCCAGTAGACTCCAGGCTCCTCCATTTGGTCGGGAGGACATGGTTGGAGGCTGAGTAGGAAGGGTCTGAGGACAGTGGTTTCTGCCTGAAGGGGCTTGGGAGGGTGGACTTAAGCTCCCCAGAACTTCGGGTTAGGAGCAAGGGGCTTTCTCTACACACAGCCTGGTGGCAGGTGGTGGGGCCCTTTCAGAGGCCTGGGGGGCACAGGGGCTTCTCTGGGGGATGAAGGAGTAGTCTGAGAGATTAGGCTTGCTGACCACCAGGGCAGCCTGCTGCGAGCTCCCCCCTGCCCACACGTGCCTGTACTCCAGGGAGCCTGGGCAGGCTGGCCAGTGAGTCTAAGGTAGGGTGGCCTGAGACTTAGCAACACTGAGCAAGGTGTGGTGCCCAACCTGTACCTGTACCACTTTGCCTGGTTTTCAAATGCCTGGCAGGGGGCACTGCCCATTTAACAGGAGAGGGACCTGTGGCCCAACCATAGGCTGCCTCGTGGCCCTGTGCTAGGACAAGGCGGTGTTGTGGAAGTGACCAGCTGTCTGCACTGGCCTCACAGGGACCTGTCCCTCATGTCACCACACGCCTCCCTTGCTCATCCTCATGCCCATGCCTGGACAGCTGGAGCTGCCAGCCAGTGTGGGGTGTGACGGCCGTCACCGTGGGTGGCACCATGTGTGGCAGGGCTGGCCTTCTCCTGGCCACCTTGCTGGTGTCCATGTTGCTGCTCTGCTGGGATGTGGTGAGTCTTGGTCTGTGTCTGCGTGGTGTGTGGTGTCACCTGCCAGGGGTAGGCAGCGAGAAGGTGGCCAGGACTCTGGCTGTGACCCTCCTGTGGAGCACTGGGTTATGTAGTCTGGGCTTGGTTGCCTTCTCTGAGGAGAGAGTGGGGTGCTGAGAGGCTGGCCTCCTTGGTCTGAGGCACCTGTGTGCCTGGCAGTCGCTCCTTGGAGATGGCTGGCCAAGGTGGGGCTCCCCTGGTTCTCTGAGGAAGACAGTCTAGTGCAGTGTACAGTGGGGCCGTCATGCAGGGCCGTCGTGTGGGGCCATGCTTGTCCCGTCGTGTGTGCTGCTGGCTGCAGCCAGGCCTACAAGAAGGCAATCTCTGGGGTGGCTGTGGGTGGCCAAGGAGGCTCTGCAGCCCTGTGACAATGTGGACTCCACTTTGAAGATCAGTCTTCGAGGCTGTGTGTGTGGCACAGCCCCTTCCTTGTCCCTGGAGCAGGTAGCTGGGGCGTCAGAGGGTGACTTGCCTGGGGTGCCCTGGGGAAGTCAAGCTCCCCACCTTGGGCCCTCTTGGTAGCGGGTGATGAGGTGGTTGTGTCTGTTTCTGCCACACAGGAGCAAGGTCGGGGGCATGTGGGGCGGAGAGCAGAGGCTTAGGCACTGGGTGGCCCAAGGCTGCGGGTGGGGGTGGGGAGACCTGGGCCTGGCTCTGGTCCTGCAGGGTGGTGACCGCATGGCAGCTGGGTGTCTGAGGTGGCACCGCGTGTTTCCATGTGGAAACCCTTGTCATTGCGTGTGGTCGTGGGCACTGCTGCAGAGTGTGTGTGTGTGTGTGTGTGTGTGTGTCTGTGAGGGAGAGGGGTGGGCAGGAGCCCGTGCTGTGTCTATGTGTACCTGCTGTGTGTGCCAGCGGCCCGGGCGCTCAGCTGTCACTAACTGCCTTCCTTCTCTGCTACTGCTTCTGCTGCCCAGTTTGAGGCCCCGGGGCCCTTCTCGGAGCAGGCCAGTCTGCTGGACCTGGACTTTGACCCCATCCCTCCTGTGGCGAGCCCCGTGAAGGCGCCCACGCCCTCTGGTCAGGTTGGTTGTGCCCACCACTGCCTATGGGCCTGCCAGCCTCCAGGGCTGGGCCCTGGGCTCATGTTTGCCCACTGCTATGTGTGTTGTGAGGCCCAAGCTCGTGGGGATCCCCGATCGCAGGCCCTCTCCCTCTTATGGCCTGCTAGCTGGTGTCATGGCCATTGGCCCTTATGGGTTGCCGTGGGGTAGGGCAGAGTGCAGACAAGGGCCCTGGGCTCACCCTTAGGAGAGGGTTAGCCCACACTGCCTGCAATTTCTCATTCATCTGAGCAGCCTGCCTTTCCTCGTAGCTGCTCCCCCGCCCAGATCTAGCAGCCTCCGAGAGGGTTTCGTGACTGTTGTCTGTTGACCTCTCAGCCCAGCCAGCTCTGTGCTTGAGAGCCCTGGGGTGGGGGTCCCCGGAGACCGCTTGCCTGCCCCATCTCTAACCTCTGTGCTAACTCTGTCCTTTCCTCCTCACTGCTGCGCTCAGTCCATTCTGTGGGACCTCTGGGAGGTAAGCCATGTCTGCTCCGCGTCGGGCGCCGCTCTACGTATGCCCCCACCCCAGTCCTGTCCATGGTGCACGCACACGCACACAGGCGTACGCAGCCCACACGCACAGCGAGCTCACTGAGGCCACCTCTCATTTGCTGCCCTTCCCTGTCAGGCCCATGGGAAAGGAGCTCCTTGCTTGAGTGAGACAAGGGTCCTCCATGATGTGGCCCAGGTTTCATGGCTGCAAGTGTTCACCTGTAGACCACAGCCAGGCAGGCACCTGAGTGTCCTCATTGGTCGAGGCCTGGGAGGCAGGAGGGCCCGGGGGCGGGGGGGGGGGAACTCTTTCTCAGCCAGAACACATAGGGCAATGCCGGGGAGCTGTTTGGTGCGGAAGGGAGGGAGAGGCAGGTTCCTTCTGGGAGCAGGGCCTGTGGCCAAGTCCAAGGCCAGCTCTTTCAGGACACAGGTCACGTTTACCTGATAGCTCAGCACTGTGGGAGCTCAGGGAGGGCTTAAAATGCGCTCAGTAACTGGCAGTGGGAGGACTGGGATTACACGGGCGTCCTGGATGAGGTCCTGAGACCTCTCGACATAGGCAAGGAACGGGCAGCGCAGGGTGGGGCCAGGTGGGTGTGGCACACGGGTGTCTCCGGGCACACACTGCTCAGGAAGTTCCACAGAGCATTTCACTCTGAAGGAACCAGAAAAGCAGCCTGATGTGAGCTGGTAGGCCAGTTCCACGAGGAGATGGTAGGTGCTGCTAGTGGCCATCACACCTGCAGGTCCCCTTGACAGTGGCAGCAATGAGGTGGGAGTGGGGAGCCCCCCACCCCCAGACTCTGGCCAAGCTGCCTGTCCTGGGCACCCCACTTCCCTGTCAGCACTGGCTGCTCACAATGTTTCTCTTGTCTCATGCCCTTGCCCAACACCTCTCCCATGGCCCCCCTTCCCTCTCTGTTCTCTCCTGGTGGCCTGGCACCAGCCCACAGAGAGTCCAGCTGGCAGCCTGCCTTCTGGGGAGCCCAGCGCTGCCGAGGGCACCTTTGCTGTGTCCTGGCCCAGCCAGACGGCCGAGCCGGGGCCCGCCGAAGTAAGTGTCCCTCCCCAGGCCGGCTCACCCTGCGTCTGGGGTGTAGTGTGCACAGAGAGCCCAGAGATGGGATGCAGAACAGACCAGGCCCCTGGCCCAGAGGGCGAGGTGGGCTTTGAGCTCTAGGACCCGAGGACAGGGGTCACTGCGGTGCATATCCACAGCCTGAGCTTACCCCCTGCAGTGGAGTCCCCTGGGGGGGGGGAGGAGCATTTGAGAGGTCTGCAGTTTATGCTGGGCACTTCCTGGCACTTCTCTTCACCTAATCTCCATAATCTTGTCAGCAGATACTTCCTCCTTTCACAGCTGAGGGAGGAGGTGGAGGGTAGGAAGGTTGGGCAACTTGGCCCTGTGCTTGGAAGTGGCCGAGGGGACACCCCCGCCACCACGCAGCATCCTAGGGGAGAAGGTGGTGTCCAGGGTTGGGCCTTGCTGCCCTGCCTGGCCTGAGCCATGTTTGGGAGGGCACAGGCATGTGCTGCAGGCCCTTGCCAATCTGTGAGGGGCCATCCAGCTGGGCAGGGCGAGGCTGGGCTTGGAGAAGTCCTGGGTTAGAGGGCAGCAGCTGTGAGGCAGGGTTGGAGTGGCATCTCAGGAGCTTGTGCTGGGCTAACTGCATTGTTGGGCATTCCTGGACCTGCCTGCACCTTCTGTCCAGCCACCCACACCCTGGCCTGCCCTGGCCTACACCTCCCATGGCCCTTGTTCCTGTCCTGATCGTTTGTCTGCCTTGTGTCTGACTCCTTGCCGGCATTTATGTTGCAGCCAGCAGAGGCCTCAGAGGTGGCGGGTGGGACCCAACCTGCGGCTGGAGCCCAGGAGCCTGGGGAGACGGCGGCAAGTGAAGCAGCCTCTGTAAGATAGCAGGGACCAAAGCCCCATCCTTGTTTCCCACTGCCTGCCTGTCGCCTGTGGGCCTGTGTGCACCCGGCCGAGCTCAGTGGAGCCGGGGCAGGTGCCTGGGCACAGGCAGACACCCTCCCCTCCCTACCCCGAGGGCCAGCCCTCGAGGCCCAGCCCTGCTGACCTGCCCCATGTCCCCAGAGCTCTCTCCCGGCCGTGGTGGTGGAGACCTTCTCAGCGACTGTGAATGGCACCGTGGAGGGCGCCAGCGGGGCTGGGCGCCTTGACCTGCCCCCAGGCTTCATGTTCAAGGTGAGTCCCGGCTGGGGCACCTTCTCTCCCAGCTGTGGCTCTGCAGGGCTGGGCCAGGCACCTGGGCCTTGACGCACTCCACAACCTCTGCAGGTGCAGGCCCAGCACGACTACACGGCCACTGACACGGATGAGCTGCAGCTCAAGGCTGGCGACGTGGTCCTGGTGATCCCCTTCCAGAACCCCGAGGAACAGGTGTGTGGTGGGCCAGGCTCCTCCACTGCTTCTGCAGTGGGCTCAGCGGCCGGCAGGGGGCAGCAGAGGCCGCCGTCCAGGAGCTCAGCCCACTGGGGCTGTGTGTTAGCCTCCCTCCAGCCTCTGATGGCTCCCTCCATGGGCCCTGTGCCTTGCAGGCTGTGCACACAGGGTCCCGGGCCTCCCATTTGTGTCCTGAGCTGAGTCTTAGCCCAGATGCCTTCCAGACCCCCCTTCCATGGCTTCTCCGTTTTAGTTACTTTCAAAGCGAGGTCCCAAGCCTGAGATTGTCCCAGACCTCTGGCTGGGTGGGAGGATTGCAAGTTTCAACTCATCCCGGGCAATTTAGTGATTTACTGAGACCTTATCTCAAAACGTGAAAGAGGGCTGGGCATATAGGGAAATAGCTCAGTGGAAAGGCCCAGAGTTCAGTCAGCACTAGAAGGAAAAATAAACAAGGGAGGTCCCCTGGCTGAACCGGGGCTAGTCCCAGTTCTCGGGTTTGGGCAGCTGCTCTGCCCAGGCGGCTCACATTTCACTGCTGGTGTGAACTGGCCATTGTGGGTAGTTGACAGTGCCCACGTGGACCTCTGGGCTTTGTTCTCAGTTCAGCCCTGAGCATCTGCAGGCCTTGGGCTGGAGCCTGGCCAGCCAAGGGCCATTGTCATTGTCCCATCTGCATGACTGAATTGTCAGGATGGCTGAGGGTGAAACCACCCCAGGTGGAGGGTCCTAGGTCGGGACTTGAGGGCACGGGGTGGGAGGCCTGAGTCACAAGGATTTCCAGGCTGGGGCTGAATCCACTGGTTGTTTATAGCCCCTGCTTTTCCACCGACTGCCCCATGGGCTTGGCCTGGCCAGGTGGGAGTTTAAGCGCTCTGCCCCCAGCTTATGGGGTATACAGTTGTCCAGAGCTGGCTGGAGGGGGCTCAGAAAGGGCAGAGACAGGATCTGTGATGAGGCAGAGACAGATGGGACATAGAGTGAAGCCACCTGACCCAGGTAGTGCCCAGGCACAGCCCAGCTGCAAGTGCAGTGGTGGCCAGCCATGGTCAGGTGTACTGGCCCTGCACTCCAGAGTGAGGCCAGGGAGAAGCAGGGGGCACCTGGGAGGTGGGCACCTGGTTGGGTGTACAGTACTTGGAACTTCCAGAGCAGTGGTGGTGCACCTGTGGCACATGCTGCTGTGGGCTGTTTGTATCACTGAAAGCTCTAAGAGGTTCGCTGTGACTGCTTTGGAAGCTTTTCACTGATTGGTGCCTCCAGAGCTTTGTGATATTTTTTCTAGAAGTATGAGACCTGCGAGGGCAGCTGATGTCCTTCTCAGTGGGTTCTAGATGGCAGGAAGCCCTTGGCCTGGAGTGAGGGAGTTACTCAGACATGGTCAGACCCGTGCAGTAGTCAGGCTGCCTTTCCAGAGAAAGGTCACTTTCCCAAGTGGGGTATAGACTTCTGCCCAGCCCTAACTGCTGAGGGCAGGCTGGTCCTGCTGGGTGCAGGCGGGTGTCATTGACTCTCAGGGAACACTGCCTGAGGAGAAAGGAACAGCGGGAGCAGGGGTCATCTTGCCAGAGTCTAACTGTGGTGTGACCTGGGTGCCCTCCCCGCTGCAGGATGAAGGTTGGCTCATGGGGGTGAAGGAGAGCGACTGGAACCAGCACAAAGAGCTGGAGAAATGCCGGGGTGTCTTTCCCGAGAACTTCACGGAACGTGTGCAGTGACGGCAGAGCCTCTGCAGCCCTTTAGGCACTTGAACATCTTTTCCCGAAAAATGTGTGTTTCTTTTCTGTTTTTTTTTTTTTTTTTTTTTTTTGTTATTGTTGTTTGTTTGTTTCTTTTGTTTTTAAAACTTTTAAAAAGCAAAGGGAAATTGAGAGAGGAGAGACCTGAGCTGAAAGGTGTTCTCCCAAACATTAGGTTGCTTTCCAAAGAGCCCAGTCTGGCCCATCCGGTGGAGTTCACCAGTATACCAGAAGCTGCTGTGTCCCCTAGTTGAGTTCCCGGCATCCCCGCCCACCCGCATGTGTGCCTGGCCGCAGGGCGGGCTGGGGGCCACCAAGCCACCGCTGCGCTTGCCTGAAGCTTTGGCCACCACCGGCCTGGGCAAGGGTCCTCTTTTCCTGGCAGCTGCAGTGCGTGGGGCCCAGTTGCCAGCCCAGCCTGGCCCCGCCCCGCAGACTATCTGTGTGCTGTTTGAAAATAAACCGTAGTGTTCAAAACAAAATGAAACAAAACATCTGGCAGAAACACTCTGAAAGATGTCAGTGTGTCTGTTTTGTCTCTGGTGTCCCGTCTGAGACTGTGACCCTGGGCTGCCAGCTGGTGTGCCAGCTGTGCGGTTACTGTCTCCAGCCGGAGCCTGTGCTGGGGCTTGGCCGGAGCCCTGTGATGTGCCCGAGGGGTGAGGTGTCCCGAGTGACTGTGGGAAGCGGGGGTCAGCGACCAGGACTTCGCTCCACAGATGAAAACCTTGAGGCCCAAGGAACTCGGGAAGCTGGTTGGGGATCTTGAGGAGCGTCTTCTTGGCTCTTGGCTGCCCGGAGGCCCCGAGTCTGCCAGGGCCAGAAGGGCCTGCCTGGGTCAGGCGTGAGGTTGGCCTGCCAGCTTTATCCTGCCTTGTGGTTCCCACTGAGCACAGCCTTAACTGTGGGGCTGTTCTAGTGGCTGACGCCGCACAGCAGTGGCCTGTTGTGCTCATGGGCCCAGGAAGCAGCCTGGACTGCGGGTGGAAGGAATGCATCTTTACGTCGACCTTTACATCGTGAACGCAGGAGAGTGGGTGAGCCCAAATCCAGGGCTCAGGACAGTGTTTGTTATTGTTGTTTGTTATTGGCACTCAAACTTCAGGTGCCTCTGAGAGGGGCTCGTCCAGCCGCCATTCTTGCTTCCCTTTTGGAGTGGGTGCTGCGCGTGTCCCAGCAGAACTCTGACTTTGTACTCCGCTAGCATCTTTCCCTACCCCAATTCCCGCAGCTACGGGTAGCTTTATGACACCTTCCTGGCCAGTGAGCTGAGGGAGGGCATACCTTCACGGATAAAAAAAATCCAAGCTTTGATGAGTGTGGCTTTCAGCTCCTTTGGCCTGGAGTGAGGGCTGGAGGAGCAGCAGCTTTCTTGGGACCCACAGGTCACATACAGGAGGACGAAGAGCCACTCCCTGAGGATGGCAGAGTGAGCACAAAGGTGGGGGGATGGAGTGTCCAGTCCAGGCTAGTGGCCATACATCTGACTTATGTTTGTACAAAGTAGCACACCCATCATGTTGGGGGTCTGTTACTTGCAGCCTTCCTAATTGCTCCCATATCTGTACCTATGGGACAGTGTCCTCACTTTAGCCTCCTGCAATCCTGTGGCCCCCGCTCTATGCAGTCCTCACCATCCACTTCCTCTGGCACCCACAGTGGGTCCAGTGCCCTTTGGATCTCTGCTAGCCCACCTGTACAGCAGAACTCGTCTGCCAGGGAGGTTTCCCTGGAACACATCGCCCCATTGCCCCTGTGTTTGTACTGTCAACAGTCCGCCTTTCCCTAAAAGCCCAGATCCCCAAACCTGGCCCTGCGTGCTCTGCCACTCCCCGGTTTTCTCCTGTTCCTGCCTGGAAGGGCCCATCCTGTAATGGCCATGATACCTGTGCCCTCTTCCTGTGTGTGGCTTCTTTGCCATGCTGCAGCCGAGCACCCCTCGGTGACACACCCTTTTTCTCCCAGCTGACCCAGCTCCTCTGTTGGACTGAGGGCTCAGCCGAGGGCCCAGACCTCTCCCCGCTTTGCCTGTCATGCTGCTTGCCTCACTGCAGATAGCAGGGTGGAGGCCCCCAGACCAGCTCCCTGTGCAGCCCCCTGGAGCCAGGCCAACCCCAGCTCAGGGAGTGGGACCCTGCTGTGCCCAGCACCTGCTACAGTCTGCCCACTGCTCAGTGTAGAAGCCACAGGATACTGTTTGCTGAAAATGAAAACATAAGCTGGGGCTGGGGATATAGCTTAGCAGCACAAGTGCCTGGTCCTGAATTCAAGTCCTAGTACTCCCCTACCCCCCAAAAACTAAAACTGCAGCTCCCACTGCTCTCACCTGACGAGGTTTGCTTTCAGTTTTGCTTCTTTGGACTGAAGGGAATCAATCCTCCCTGAGCTGGCCAGGGCAGGTCTCCCTTTCAGCCCCTGTCCTACTGTGGGCTCAGCTGTTACCCATACGAAGCCCAGCGCAGACAGACAGAGTGACCAGAGAACCCCTTTACTCCCCTTGGAATCCACCCTGTGGCCTCCAGCAGCCTGCTTAAAGCCCTCAAACCTGCTTCTCTGGCTTTAAGCAAGGAGTTTGGATGACAGGATATGTTGTAGTAGAATTGCTCAACTCTGCCAGCAGAGCCTGGGGGTACACTCTCTCACTCGGATACTCTTGGGATGGTAGTTTTCCCAGTTTGGATTTCACTTTGTTTTCCTGCAGTCTGCTAATCTTTTTATTTTGTTTGCATGAGTTTTATGAGAGACTAGAAGGTCCTACATCAAGGATGTGTGTCCATAATATTCTGAATCAACAAAAAGCATCTATCCTCATGAACATATATTTTTCTAAATAATGTAGCATTCCTGCACACATGTGCATATGTGCGTTCTTATTCTAACAAAAGAATACACACAGTTGCTCAGCACTTTCTAGAATTTCTGTTTGGGAAACATCTTGAGCCTGTGGTGGCAAAGTTGTTTGGATTCCTTCCATGCTGAGAAATTGTCTTCTTTCAGGGAATTTGATTTTCAGGCCATAGGAAAAAAACAAACAAACAATTTCAGCTTGAAAGTTGCTAACCATTTAGTATTGGGATAGACTGAGCAAGGAGGAAGCAAAACATTTCTCTAATGGAAATAAAATATCGTCTGTTGAGGGGAAAAAAAACCCTTGCTCAGCAAAGCTTGTTGGAGATAGCAGGGCGGGAACTGAAATCTTCACAGTAAGTAGGAAGAGACAAAGAGCCATTTTACTTGGAGCGAAGGAGATGATCCCAGATGTCCAAGGGCCCAGGGCGAATGACAGGCAGATTCTCGGGTTGTGTGCGACCCCCTGGAAGCAGGTGTTGGAAATCAAGGGCTGGGCTCTGGAGTGAAAGGCGAGTGAAAGGCGTCTAGACTCCGTGGTGCAGTTTTGCCTTGGCCTGTGGTTTCACTTCCTATAACATGGTGGTAATACTTGACTCAGCCTTGCTCTGTGAGTTAATAAGTATTGCAGGACAGTTTCTATTGTTTTGAATTGCTTTATTTTTTGCAGTGCTGGGGACTGAATCCAGGGCCTTAGCACTGAGCTACATCCCTAGCCCTTTTAAACATTTCTTATTTTGAGACAGGGCCTTTCCCAGTCATTAAGGTGCCCAGGCTGGGCTGAAAGTTTCAGTTCTGTTGACTCAGCATATATTCAAATAGAAAATCTTCACATTTTGTTTATTTTTGGTCTAAGGATGGAGCCCAGGGCCTCATGCATGGTAGGTAACTGTTCTGGCACTGAATTGTACCTTGAGCCCCTCAGCTTGGACTTGTTTTTGCTGGAAAATAGAGGCTGAGGAACTATCACTAGCAGGTCTCACTTCCTCACTTGTAATTGTGGGTGATTTCCTTGCTTCTCAGAGTTCCCCGAACTGGGTAATAATCTTGGCCTGCAGGAATCTGCCCAAAGTCAGGGACCGAGAGTGTTGTTCCTCCAGGGGTTTGTGGAGTTGATTCTCTATATGAAGTGGCTTATTTTCCTTGTTAGCTGAGAATAATGCCCAATTTACCATCCCTAGTATGGCCTTCAAAGCACAGTACAACTCTGCCGGAGAAAAGAGGACAGCTTCTTATTGAACTCAGGAAAATAACTGTATTTCCAAGAAAAGTTCAGGAGACTAAGTAAGCTTTTGAACTGTGGGAGGCCAGTAAAAGCAGATATTATTGAAAAATGTTTCAATGGACAAAAAGTAACATATATTAAATTGTAGTTTAAGCAGGAAAAAAAAAAGGGTTTATTACCAGGTCTATAAATGAAAGAACACTAAAGCGACATTAACAGTACTTCAAAATAGAACAATAAAATGGGCTCACTCAGTCCTGTGTGATCGATTCCTGCTTGCTAAATCTTGGTCCATGATTTACTTTCCGAAGCTCTTCCTGAGTGGAGAGGCCTGGAATCTGGACTTTGCCATCAGCATTGCCTGAAGCCTCTGTCAGGAGGCCTAGGCTGCCCTTCTTCACTTCGTCCACATGGAGCTCATGCAGAGCTTGCAGATATACAATAGAGTAAAGGAAAAACTCTGCAGATGACAAGAGTTGTGGTTAATTTATGACAGCAAGCAATCATACAAAAAGGCAGGAGGCTAAAATTCTCCACTGGGGAATGACTATTTCATAAGAGTTTGATCAATGTTTCCTTAAGGGTAAAACAGCTTACAGAGAGCAAAGGCACTGGTGATCCTTTAGGGTCTTCTTGTAAAGCAGGCAAGGTCTGAAATATTTATGTGAATGACATTTCACTGATGCAAACCCAAGCAGGGGGAGGCTGAGCCTATCTTCAGATGTGACAGCATCTCCCATGCAGCCCTGATTAAGGAACAATGAACATAATTATTCTAGCATTGCTCTTTTTCTTGTTTCATAAGGGGGAGCAACAGATCTTTGTGAATTTGCGGGGGACCTCTAGGAAGTTTGTAAGAATGTTTTAATGATGAAAAGTTTTATTTTGCTATTTCTATATTCAAGATAGGATCTCAGGAAAGAAAAATCAAAGGAGTCATCCACGATGAGGACACTTGATTCTTAGAGTATCGTGGGTGCCTAAGAGACAAATTGTGCCCACTGTCTTGGTTACTTTTCTCTCATTGCTGAGACAAAATACCTGATGCCAAAAATTAAGGAAGGAGAGGTTTATTTAGCTCACAGTTTGTGGAGGTTTCAGTCTATACTTGGCTGGCTCCGAGGCAGGGTGGTGCATGGCAGAGGGCAAGCATCCATGGCGCGGAAGATAGCAAAGGCAACAAGAGCAAAAGGGAGGAGTGGCAGCAAGCCGACTCTTTCTGTCCCTTACATATGCAAACTATCTGCCCCAGGGCGGGTGTAGCACTCACACCCATGAATCAATCATAAACTTTAAAATCCTGCCCCATGACTGCATGAGGATTTGGGGGGACCTGCAGATACAAACCATAATACCCACCCTTGTAATAATTTTAAAAATTATGAACGTAGAAGGTGACATGATTTTCAAGAACGTTACCATTTTCACAAGTGAGGGTATGTG